ATTGCGAAATAAGCTTCAGAAGATATGCGGTGCATCTGCCAAAAAAAAATAAATATTTTCATTGGTAATCGGATGCATACACCATGATTTATTTTTCGTTTATTTGTAATGTTTTCCACAGTGCGCGGTTAGATCCACTCATATCACTCACTACAGCCACAACTTTATACCCAATTTGATGTAATTTTGAAATCACTTCAAAAAGAATGGCATCTGTCATCCTTCTATCGAAGTCTACGAAGAGTGTTTGCTTCCAGTTATCGAAAAGCCCTCGCGCTAATAGCATTTGCATTTGCAAATGTGGGCCAATAATTTTGTCGTGGTTCGTATCATATTCATATGTAGTTTTATTTTCATTTCATCAAACGACAAAACTATGAGACAGTGAAAATCTTTCTTACCTTCTCTAACTATTTTCATCCTTTTTAAATCATCGTCTAAAATACCTTGCCGCAGTTAAAATAATGATACCCAATGTCTAAGAGTAGCTAAATGTGGAAAAGTATACTTTAGATGTTTCTGAAGACAGAGATATGTCTTTCTACTTAAATAGCGTAATGTGAAAAGCAATTGACAATGTTTCGTCATCCCATCTCACTTTCTTTTTCTGATGAGTTAGTAACTTTCCTGTGATTTAGTAAAAGTTCTTTTTACAGCAATGGAAAGTTTTTTATTAATGTCATTTTTAAATTTCTCTCTTCTCAACTGTGACACTTCCTTTTTCAAACGCATAATTGTTTCAGGAAGAAGCAAATTGTATCATTGGCGGATTTTAACATTTTCTGTAAATTGTTAATTTCATTTTCTCGCTCTATGTTTTCTTTCTGTACATCCAGGTAGGAAACGTTTTCTAAAACCGTCTGTTCCAGAGCTTCACCGCCGTATTTTGTACGAAGTTCCAACGTATTCGAGAGGGAGCTTTTTCTAGCAAATCAAGGGCAAGATTGGGGACTTAAACGGCGTCTTGTCGTGAATCACGTTTTTGTTAAGAGGATCTTTTGACCATATAAATACCGACGGAACAGCCGTTTTCTCCAGTATCTGAAGTCAATATAAATAGCTATTAGTGCATTTGTGACATAAATTAAGAATTAATTAATAAATAGATTCAGCTCCTTATTTTAACCTTTATTATATTTCAGGAAATTATATCTATTATTTCAGTTAAAATACGGCTCAGGATTTTAACCGTACAGCTCTCTAAGAGGAAAAAATTATAAAATATGGACTTCAGTTATGTTATAAAAAAAACCTCTACAATCACTTTTGGCTAAATATTTCAGTTATTTTAGTATTTTTAAATTACAACTCTGAGTGGTCTTTAAAAACAAGAATGAAAATAATAATTTTTGATTCAAATGAAGTTAAAAATTTAAAAGAACGAAATTTTGGTCTCTAACCAAATAATAAGATAAAAGCTGAATCTAAATTAATGCATAAATAAATAGACTTCCAAATGCAATTAGCAAAAGACTAACAAAGTTATGCATCAATTAACTAAACAGAAACCTACAGAAATACAAATTACTTACCTTTTTATCTGGCAAGCCCAGTAAATCTGCTCGTAAATCTCTCTTATAGGAATCTGCAGTAAAATGGGCAGAACGTATCCTAGAAGAGGTTGCATTCCATTTATTTTCTCGAATGGCGAAAGATTGATCCACTTCCTTTCTTAATGTAGGATCATTTAGAAGTCTGCGATAAAATAGGCCCTCAGATAAATTTTTAGTTTTTTTCTAAACTGTTGTTGGAAAGAGCAACGGCGCATCGCATTCCAGGCATCTAGTAAAATTGAACAAAAGAAAGAATCTTCAGAATCGTTTTTCTGCACTTATAAGTATTCCATAGTATAATATAAAAATATTCAGTAAATATTTAACCTTTGATATAGAAAACTATGTTACATTACATTAATATGTATATATGTAACTTTTTAAACATTTTTTAAAAACTTTTTTATATACTTTTTATAAACTTTTTAAAATTCTTTTTTTGCATTTTTAAAGAATTATTTGAAATTTATTAATTACGAATTTCACCTTTTGGTCTTTGTGAAAAGTAAATTTCTTACTTTATGTCTTTACTGATAATTTTTTAACAACTTAATGCGCGGAAATACTAGACATGTTTATATTTTTTTTTTTTTTTAAAAATTTTGTAATTTCATATATATACACATTTTTGTAATCTTTATCTGTAATTAAGTGTTTTGGCACAAATAGATATACAAAATTCGTCTATAAACAAGCTTTGAACTTAAGCTTGATTTTACAATTAGTACTGAAGATAAAATATTTGATAGTATAAAACAGAAGTGAATATTACGTAACATTAAAATAAAACAAAAAGTACTGAAATTTTACTAACCTGGAAAAAATATTCTCACTGACAGGAAAAGAGGACTTCACAGGAGTTCAGCATTCGAAAGCAATGCTTGGGTTTCCCTTAGACTCGTATATCACTTAGCCTCGTCTGGTAGCCCGTGACGTCATACGTTGAGACTTGACGCATGCGCTCTATGCCTAGTTTCCGAAGGGAACCTTTTCACTGTACGGACCTTGGGCGTGACATGGTTATGTGTATGTGTTATTGAAAAAATGCGTAAGGGGGATGGTATTGTGCAGTTTTTCCTAATTTTGCAGTGAATATGTATGATTAAGCAGTTTTTTGATAAAATTTACATAAGTGTATTCGCTAGTAGATTGTTGGAAGAAGGTTCAGGAGATAAAAGAAAAGAACATGTCTTTACTTCGTGAAGACAAAATGGCGGCGGGGGGAAAAAATAGAGGGTTGCTGTAGGAGAGTTGGTCGCCAAAAAATCGCCAAGTTACCATAATGTAAAGATCAACCGAAAATTCTATGTGATCTGATAATTCTCTATTCGTTACATGTTGGAATGTCGCCGTAGCATTTTTAACTGAAAAGGCATATCTTTAAAACAGTATTGAGCAAGATGCATATCTTAAATGATGTCAAATCCCAGCTTGATTTTCCAATGATATAGCCCAATAACCTTTTAATAAAAGCTGTGGTAGTTATGATGTTGGGTTTTCCTATACAATACAAGAGTTTGATGGTATTTGCCATTTGTAAATCAACTGCTTTAATTAAGAGCTCTAAATCAATACAAATTCAATTATCTTTCTTTCTCTTATCCAAGCTACAGGGTAGGCATCAATCTGCATCAATCTCCTTTATAAGACCTTGATTTATCAGTTCGTCAGTTTGTTTTTCAACTTCAGGTTTAACAGACTCGAGGATTTTCTAAATGTAATGTTTCTTCCTTTCTTTTTCTATCAATCTAATTTTTGGCTCTCCAACCTCATCTACTTTATTAGGAAACAGTATTTCATAGTTAAATTATAAATCTGAATGATTTAAGTCAGTTTTCTCTAAAGTAAGTTTTTACCTTAGAATTGGTATAGATGTTGGGTAGATTACTCTCAATTCTGTTTAATTTTCGAAAATTAAAGAAATTATTTGGATTGTTGGGTGGAATTTTCTGATTTTATGTACATGCGAATGCCTTATTTTTCCGTTTAAAAGTTTTACGTTTTACGAATAGGATTAAAACGAGAAATTGTTTCGCCTGATCCAGTCGATTTTTCGCATAATTTCGTATTTGAATCAAAAATTAGTAAATATACTTGATCACCAGTTTAAAAGCTCTTTGAATAAAATGCCACTGTTAAGATATTCAGCATATTTTTTTCCCTTCTGCGATTATTGATGCTACTTTCTAGCCTCTTTTGAATTTATTTTCAACTCTTGAAGGTAATCTACAACATTTATTGGAAATGAGAAATCTTGGTACTCACTTTTGCCAATATTTATTGGTAAAGAGATTTCTCTCAAACAAATCAAATTTAATACTCTCAATGAACCTCTATGTTCTCTTCCTTAAAGTAATTTGAAAGAAGACGCTTCATTCAGTGAGCTAGGAATTTCTCGATATGCGATTAGCAAATACGAAGTATTATTTGTCCCAGTTCTTAAAACCTTTTCTACGAATAGTAGGTGAAAAGTGAAAATTAACATTTTATCATTGATAAATGCAATATTTTATATCTTGTTTTCCAATGAAGAATTTAACAATCAAGTACGGCCGCAAACACTTAATCCAAGGTTTGATTCAGTAAAACAAGTTATAACTTATGTGTTTATATGTCTACGAACTTAATTATCGTACACATATAAACACATAATCATATAATTTTTTATATGTCCTTATATTTCCACTCACAGTAATATTTCTCACAGTAATTTTCACTCACAGTAATATTTCTCACAGTAATTTTCACTCACAGTAATTTTTATATGTTCACCCCCAGTAATATATTTAATTCCCAATATACATACAAATAATGGTAAATAAGGTAGCTTTTTTACCTTCGTGTAATGTGATTCAATTCTCTTAAAATTCTTTAATGAAGGCATGCTTGCCCCTTAGGCAGATATTCCTCGTATGCTTCACCGTAATCCAATAATCAGCCTAACCAAACAGTCTAGTAATCAATTGTGAGTTCTTAATTACACATTCTCTTTTATAACATTTTAATTCTCACATTATTACATTATAGTATATCGTAATCTATCAGTTAATGTTTGAATTAAATGCTCCATGAAGTTCCTAATCACCACCTTTTCTTAAAAAAGTCTTAATAATGAGTAAAGCGTCATTTGATTTAACCCGCACTCTGATACGCCAGTTTGTTGATTTAAATTGCCCATATTTATATTACATAATGTATCATCAAAAGAATTCTAAGAACGCAGCAACTTCTGTTTCATCGTAAAATTAATGCTTATTTGTGTGACTGTTATTGTTTGATTAACAGAACGTGATGAATTTTTCTTATTTATTTATGTTTTAGTTCCCGTTGGTGAAATGACCAAGATTTTTGCGTTTTCAAAAATATTTTAATATATTGATGTTTTACTCTGAAATGGATTAGTATTCATTTATGCTGAAATCTTAAACTTATTTTATTTCTTTCCAGTGTATGGGTCACTTTTGGTACATGGCAACTGATATGCAACTCTATTTAGTTTCTCTAATCACTATTCCAGTGCTTCTGAAGTAAGTAAAATAACTTACTATTTTTTTGAAAAGATAATATTCTTGCTCGCTTACAAGGTTGTTTTCTCCTGCAGTAGAAAATTGTATCTCATATATATGTTATCAAGCGTGAAAGCTTGCTTTACCAGTTGACAGGAATGATAAAAGATGAAAGCTTCTTCAGCAAGATAACGTGAAAGATTTATTATGAAGGTTTGATGCTAAGCAACATGAAAAATAAAAGCGAAAATTTGTCTATACCAGGTGGCAAGAAGGATTAAATCTTGCTATGCGAGGTAACATGAAACGTTTTTCTTCTTTTTTTCCACTGGTGGGCATTTAGCTATCCAGCACTGACCACTCCTAAGGCCAGAATGGTGTCCTTTTTATTGTGGAGGCATCTAATAGGCGGCACCGTTGCCTCCTATGAAGGGACGGACAGTTACAACCATGTCTTCTGCGGAATTCGAACCCGAGCTCTTCAGCACTGCATTAGGCTTCCCTGACCACTATACAGTTTGGGCGGCACGTAACATGAAATATAAAACGATGAGCATTATGTGCGCCAGATGACATAAAAAAAGGACAAAAATTCGCTGTGAGGCATTTTGTGTATTTTATATCGCAGAAATCGACGAAAAAAGTTGTCAGTTCCGTTCAATGCGTGCGTTAAATCTGTCTAACAATCATGGAAAACTGTACTTCAAGAATACATTTAAGAGAATATGACAAATGCTTCACTAGAGCGATCGGTACATAGTAATAATAAATTCCTAGGAGTATAAACAAAAATCACAAACATTTGGACATGAGGACATGGAATGCTAAGGGCATAGTATCATCTTGAGTAATATGATATATGCAACAATGAAGAATGGAAGTTCAATAATAATCGAGGGCCACCAGCGGCGGAGCAGTGAAAGATGCCAAACACTGAGAGTTCATTCCAGGGCTCGAATCCCAGCGAATAGGCTGCGTGGGCATTTTCATGGTTTTCTCCATGTGTAAACTGGATACAAGGCAGTATCCCTTAAAAGAACTCCAAGGAGCATCCTTCTCTCTTCGTGTAGTGCCTAATGGCGGAGCCGTAAAAAATAAATTAAAAAAAAATATATAATATATCGAATTCGTAACTGAACTTAACACCAGAATCTTTCTTTTTTTAACCATAGAGTGATATATCGCAAGTTTTACAGAGTACAGAAATACTCTTTCAAGCGGACAGAATGGATCTCATATTTTGAAATATCTGTATAAGTATTCTAACGAGGTTCACGAAAAGAGTGTGCATTTTTGTATTTAAGCTGAGATGAGCTGAAACAAATTCAGCGTATATAGGCATAAGTACTGCACGTAATTAAATGTGGATAATTGTTTGAAATCTTTAGAATTAATTGTTCCGTGTCAAACATTCTGAGAGAGTACATAAACAGTAAAATCAAGAAAACAATACCCATTTAAATTTACCGTAGAATTAACATTATTACGATGACTGCAGGAGTTAAAGCAACAACAGTCAGCGTAATATTCATAAATCTGCAACACTAAGTTTGAAGGTTTAAACACTTTACCTACAGAGTGCAAATGCCGAAAAAGAGAAAAGTGACAAGCTAAGCTAAGCTAAGGAGACAAGAACGACAGAAAGGAAGTTAAGCTAGTAGCGCCCTCCATTCATGAAAACTTAAACCAACTAATTCCTGAAATAAATAAATAATTTCTTTAAAAGTTGAGGGTGACTGGAATTGAGATCGTAAACTAGAAATGAACTGAATGTGAAATACCTTTGAAAATCTAACTCGCTGAAGAACAATTTTCGGAATAATTCTGAATAATTTTGGCTGCCGAAAAATGAAAACTGTACTCTCTGACCAACAGTGTCGGACAGAGTATTTAAGTGTTTCTGTTTCTCTAACATATCCTTCATGCTTCCTAGAGCGAAATTTTAAGGCTATTTTGGTTTCCGATATATTTAAACAACACTAGCAAGAATATTGTATGTACCCTAGTAGTTCATATTGAAATGGGCTTTTTAGGCATGGAACTTCCAATTTTATTGACAGAAGAGAAAACGACCTGAAAATTAAATGTCTGTAAAATACGCGCAATTTTATATCTAATCGATGGAAAGAATGGAATGCTACCTTAATTCTAATAATCACCCAAAATGAAAGTGTTCTTTTTGAGTGTTGACATAAGAATTTTTTAACCACTTCGTCAATAATGTTAATTAAAAAGCCTCTGTCAATCGCAACTGCATTTAAGAAATTTAGATCTGGATTCAGAGCTGATTTAGAGGAGGAAACCTGAAGTGCACAGAAAATGAGGGACTAAAATAAAGCCTAACTTGTGATTAGCCGAATGATGAAATTCGAAGTATAGTGCAAAGCAAATAGATGATAGTTTACTGTAAACAGTAGTACTGAGGTTGAATATGTTGCATGTGATCCATCGAGAAACAAATCGAACTGGACGTCACAAATTTAAAAGTAAAATGAATGGCAGAGTGAATAGAACTGTTTATTCAAAGAACTTTATTTTCAATCATATTTATTACCGTAAAAGAGACTAAAGGTATCGCCAATGTAGATGTGATTTTTTTTACGTGGCTTAGTAGGAACTGTGAGGATTTATCGCACATTTTATTTTTGAGAGGTGCGAAGGTAAAAGGTCTTTAGGGATCAGATTACATGAGCCTTTGTTTAAACGGTTAGTGCCCATAGGTATGTTTTTTATCGATGGCGACTTTCTGGGCACATTTGTCAGCTTTTGATATCATAGTTAGAATAAATTTCGCGCAATGTAGCTTCTTCTGTCTTCTTTAGATTAAGATTCAAAGGTTTACTGTTGATTTCCCATTTGTTAATTTGTCATTAGAAATTATATACTGTTAAATTTCACGCATACGTGTAGCTAAAAATTTAGTTTTTAGATTTTTGGCTTTGCCAGTTAATAAAATTTTCGTCATCAGGAATTTAATACTATATAAAAAATATAAGTATTTTCCCTAGTAAATTTAGAATACTTTCTTTTGATGTGAAATCATTATTCACCAATATTCCAGTGGAAGGTTCACTTAAATGCCTAGAAACAAGACTTCAAGAATTTTATTTCTCCTGTATCGAAACTAATGATTTAATTTCTCTTAGTCATTTCTCTGTTAAAGAAACACAGTTTGTTTTTGAAAATAAGTATTACAAACAAACTGAGGGATTAGCCATGGGAGCTCTTTTAGTCCTATCCTTGCTGATATGTATATGTATTATTATGAATCAGAAATTTAAAATTTTCTTTGTGTGGTTCCACTACGTTGAAGATACCTTTGATCTTCTTTGGAGGTAGTAAAGATGACTGAAATAAAGTTCTTTCAATAACGAATTTCATTCATTCTACAATTCATTTCAATTAAGAATCTGAGATGTCCAGTTCTATTTAGTTTCTCGATATCTGGATCACACGCAACATATTCGACTTTAGTACTACACTTTACTGTACACCGTCATCTATTTGCTTTCCACTGCATTTCGAATTCTATTTCGAATTTCCGACACTATTGGTCAGAAATTTCCGTTTTCCATACTCTTCAGCTCAAATTATTTAAGAAACCTCATCCTTTGGCGAATTGGATTTTCTAGAGGCGTTTCACATTCATAACACTCTTCTGTTTCTAGTTAACGACCCGAATTCGCTATCCGTCTTTATCCTCATCTTTTAGGGAAAATATTTCATAGTTGATTTTATTTTTCATCAATAGTAGGTGTCTGTAGCTTGACTTCTCATTCTTATCGCATTATTCTATGTTATATTATTTTATCACTGCATTGTCTTTCATCATTTGCACTTCTGCAGCTGAAAAACGAAGACTCTATATTTAAATTTTCGAAATTAGTCCTGCAAATTAATGAATATTTTACTGATTCTTGTTATTTTAACAAGAACTTCTCCAATAATAGTTATTCAACGTGTTATTTTAATTGAAATTATTGTGATCATTTTTATACTTCATTTTTCATATTTAGGCTTTTCGAATTTTATCTCATATGTACACATAAAGTATTTTTGTAGATTGCTTATTGACTTTTGGAGTAATAATCGCATCTTCTATTGTAGGCTTTACTAGGGGACTAGCTTCTATTTCACAAATTTTAATTGAAGAATGTCGCATTTACAAAATACATAATGATAGTGCGCAAGAAAGCATTGATATATGCGCGTTAAGATTTACCGACCTCATATATAAGAACAATGATATGCGCCGCCCAACCGGGATAGTGGTTAGAAACTCTGACTACCGTACCGAAGGGCCCGGGTTCGTATAGCGGAGAAAGCATGGATATTTGTAAAGGTACATCATCTGTGTGGCAAGGGAGCATTCTAAATATGCTGCAAGCCGAAAGTCCTCTCGAGAGATCGTTGGTAAGAGAAGAGGTGATGAGAGACCCTAGCACCCGTCCTCCGGGGTACCATCACATCAGATTGGGGGGGGCGGAACTCAGCAAAGTCAACTGTATAGTGCTTAGGGTCTGTCCAGCGACAGGAACAATCTTGCATTCCTTGCCACGATGAATTTCACGGGCTTGTTCTGATGGTACCGACATATAAGTGAAATAAGTCGCAACAACACAATGATATACTGTACGCATGACATTCTACATTTGTAGCCTATTTTCTCTCTCTCGAATGGTATGGAAGAATAGATTATGGTATTTTTACCTAATTTTGAATACGATTCTATGACGGAGACATCAATGTACCTGTACGTAATAGGTACAGGATGAGGAAAGTTGGGAACATAATCATCCACGTAGGCATATTAGGCATCTCAGGGTCTTGCTAACTGCTAAGCGTCAGCCTCAGTTTTTAATTACGAGGTAGAATAACCCGAAAAGCAGTCCTAGGGTCTTCTAACCCTGTTCCTCTACCAATAACTTCTCGAGAGGATTCCCGCTTCCCGTGTATTTTGAGTATCCTCTTGCCACACAGATACTACACTCATGTCCATAAATTAAGGATAATTCAGAGTA